TATTCCTAATCTTTTGGAATTATCTATCTCCTGTGGATCATTAAGAATACCTTGTTCTTGTACTCTTCTAGTGCTTCTGGTCCAACTTTAATCAATCTTCAGCAACATCTGAAAACTATTGAGAAAGTATCTTCCTATATGTATGTAGGATGTGGGTGTTTTGGATTATTTGAACTTGATGTATTTTCCCAAAATTGTGGTTGAATGAATTAAAGAATCAAATAATTAATCTAAGGTTTGAATGTGTTATTTAATCTAAGAAAGACATTATCGAAAAATTATGTGGTGAACAACCACCACAAAATTCATGTTAAGCTTGAGTATATATGGTATAAGGTATTTAGGTAGCATGAGTCAGATAAAATTCTTGAAAAACACGAACTAGGATTTTACATGAACATCGTCACTTGAGAGCCAGGCTACGGACAAGTGAACGGCTGGTATGTCGTTCGAGCGAGAGCTCAACGACAGGTAGGCAACAATGTTTCTATTTTTTCCATACGAGCATCAGATAGGCAATAGGCCAACTTAATTTCGATGACTCTTTCTTATTGTTCCAAACTCGAACCCTAAATTACCTATTTCATCTATAAAATATTTCAATTGACTTCTTGATTTTTCCAACTTTTCATATTAGTCCTTTTGTCTCAAAAATTGCCAATACGATAAAATCTTAACAAAATCCCCCATTGGCATTCTATGAAATAATCATACATTACGTCAAGGAAGTAAAATGAAAGTAATTTACCCAAACCCAACTGAATGTCCGTCTCTTGCATTTGTTGTTAAACCTGTTTCCTGAAATCAATTACTCAAATACCAAGTGTAAAAAACGTGATACAGGAAATATAACAATTGAAACACATTATCATAAATATGTTAGCTAGATTGATCAATAATACTAATTTAATCAAAACACCTACTGAAACATTAATATCAAGAAACATCAAAACTCAAATAAGTTATGCATAATGATATGGAATGTTGTGAATGAAAAATACAAATCAATGCAAATGATATGGATGATTTATCTTTATCTCTCCTTCCTACAAACTCTCTATCCTCAAAACTCTAAATCTCTCTCTTTTTTATCACAAATGACTAAGGGAACTTTATCAAATGCAATTGAACATCAATATATAATAACAACTCAAAGGAGCAGTGGGTAGCATGCAAAAGCATAATTAATGATCAGTAAACTTTCCCACATGCTCAGTTAAAGTTAGAAGTGAGTAAATTGTATGTAAAAAATGGCATGTTAAACATCACTGTCAATAAGTTTATCCATCTACTTATGAAAGTCAAGCTAATACAAGCATAAAGGGACATATAAAAGAAGCTCATTTTGCATGTATATTATTCTTTTCTCCCTCTGATTTTGAACAAATATATTTTTACACAATGTCTATATTTTCAAGCTCATAATTTACCATTTCAAAAAATTTTACATCTTATGTGCATGCTCTTCTCCGTTAAGTGTGTAAAATGACCCCGTAATGAGCTTTAGGCCAATTAACCAAAATCAGTTAACCAAAGGCACCAAATTATGAGAAAACTCTCAAGTTTAATTGCTCGAGTGAAATAAGCTCCGAAGAAGATCATAAGATATTGAGCTTAATTTTTCTTACAAAAGAATATTTGAGCTTAGGTCTACTAAAATAAGGTCAATTCATATTCAAGGTCACCTTATCAACATGTAACTACCATCCCAAATCTCATACACACGATCAAGTCACACTCACAATGTCATAGTGTGTGCAATGCAGATAGTATATGAAGAAACCTATACCATAAAAATCTAAGCAAGTAATGGAAAGTATGCTGCAGCACATCAATTAAACTTATTCTTGGTCACAACACACACTTTCAAGTTCATCATATATAATGTTGTAATTGAAAAAAAATTGCCTTTTCAGTTTTTATTTTTATTTTTTATTTTTTCAAAACATGAATGCACCACCAATCACACAAACTAAAAAATTCAACACACAAATTTTTTTTTAAAAAAAATATGCATGTGCCAATACAAACCTAATGAAGATGCACATACTTGAACCTACTACCTATAAATAAAATATAAAAATGAAATGTATGTAATAATGAATGTATCACAATGAATAAGCACAAGCATGCACCGAAATACCTAATCAATTAAGTATACAAATGATCTTACCTTAAGAGTACCGTGATTTATTTCAAGATTTTTTAGATCACTCTTCTTCACCCAAACTTGCCTAGGGGACTATTCAACTATGTCATTAACTCGATCAATTGATTCACCTCCTTAGTGAGAAAGTCAATCCTTGTGGCATCCCTAACTATTCGGTTAGCGCTTTCACTTAATGAATCACACTTTTTTCAAAGCATAACTATTCTTGAGTACAGGTTTGGTGATTCATGCCAATGAGCTATCAAAATCCTGATTAATATTTCTATTGATTTCTATTTTTATTCAAGAATTTATAACACATTAGCCTTATATGTCCTAACTCGCCACAATTATGACATATGGGAATGAATTGAGGAACAATTCTAGATTTCAAATTTTGAACCCTGGGTAGGAGATACCTATATTACACCGGTAATTTCGGTCCTCGGACACCTATATTTTTTGTCTTATTCCTATTCAAGAGCTCACAACACTTAGGTCTTATGTGACCAACCTTACCAACACATAGGGACGAACTTAGGAGCAACTCTAAGTTTTAAGTTTTGAACCATAAGTTTCGAGGTAGGTACAAACTTACTTTTCGAGGAGAAAGCTGTTATGAGAATTTGTTTCATCAGCAGTTTTATTCAGACCTATCATTTTATCAATCTTTTGAGATCCACTAAAGAAGGATTGAAGTTGGCCATTCAATTTTTCGAGATCAGACAAAAGAGATTTAACCTTAATTTCTAAGGACTTTTTCTGAACCATTAATTCATTCAATCCTTTGGTAGACTCTTCAAATTTGACTATAAAGTTCTTTTTTTCTAATTCAAGCTTGTTCAGTTTCTTAAAGACTGATCTATTAACCTTATGTAATTTGAGACGCTCCTCATATATTTGATCATAAACCTTATGAATATCCATATCTTCCTCAGATCCATGATCAGAATGCGATTGATTCATCTAAACAAAATTGGATCAAAGATTGCAAATATGCTCTGATGCCACTTGAAAGTAATGAAGTTCAACTCAACTAACACGCCTAGAGACAGTGAATAGGTGAATACCGTAGAATTAAAATTATCAATAAAAAGCAACAAGTCTCTTTTTATTTGTTTCTAGGTGGTTAATCAAACACGTCAAATTATCCTATGTTGAATTGTCACAAATATCAAAAAAGTAGTAAATAACACAAGAATTGTTGGCGGAAAAACCCTACTAGGTAAAAACTCCGAAACTAAGCCAATAATATCCACTATAAATAATAATGAACTTACAGTATGATCCAGCCTAGAAAATCCACTAGACTCGCTGATTTAATTCATGTAATGTTCAAGACCTGATGAAACGTGTTTCACTCACACATGTTTCCGATCTTTTGGAATTGCCAATCTCCTGTGGGTTACCAAGAATACCTTGTTACTCTTCCCGTGCTTCTGGTCCAATCTCCCTCAATTTTTAGATATCTCTGAAAGCTATTAAGTTAGTACCTTCATGTACATGTGTAGGAAATTGATGTATTGGATTGTGAACTTTATGTTTTTTACAAAGTCGTGGTTGAATAAACTCAAGAATCAAATAATTAGTCTAAGGCTTGAATGTGTTCTTGAATCTAGGAAAGATATTATGGAAAAATAATATAATGAACAACCACCACAAAATTCGTGTTAGGTTCGGATATATATGGTAGAAGGTATTTAGGTAGTATGGGCAGAATAAAACTCTTGAAAAATGTGAAATATGGTTTTATGTGTAACACCATCATTCAAGCACCAAGTGAACAATCAGTATGTTGCTCAAGCGAGAGCTCAGTGACTGGCGGGTCCGCTCAAGCATCAGATAGGTAATAGGCTTGCGTAAATCCGACAACTCTTTTCTTCTTGTTCCAAACTCGAACCCTAAGTTATCTATTTCATCTATATAACATTTTCAATTGACATATTGACTTTTACAACTTTCATATTAGTCATTTTGTCTAAAGAATTACCAACACAATAAAATCCTAACAAATATGAACTGAAACCTTGTTTTACATTAAAAAAAATGAAATGATGTAACACTTTATATGTATTGTGCATCTGAATTAAGATTTAAAACTTGAAAATGGCATTCTCTGCAACTTTTTTTTAGCTTATTTCAATTAAATTCTTTATAATCAATTAAAGAGATGGATACAGGTATATGTGTGAAAATTTAAATATGAATATAAATTCAAACCTTGCTTTTCATGAAAAAAAGTGATGATAAAATACTTTATATGTATTTTTGCATATGATTTAATTTGCCGAAAATTAAAATTGACATATTCTGTCACTTTATAAAAAATAGTCTCATACTACATCCATATTCTTTGTACAGATACAGATAAAATTGACGTCTTTATTTGTTAAGGAGACAAAAATTGGAACAAAATAATGAACTTAGAAATGAATATATAATTGAAATTGTTGTCCCGACAGAATGCACAAACAACAACATTTATTAAAACATAAATGTCACTTTTTTGGTTAAGAAAGTGATGTACCATGTCACGTTTTTAAGAAGCTAAGTTTTGAAATTGCTAAAAAAAAAAAAATTTAAGTTGTCATTATTGTCATTGATATACAATTTCATGAATAAAACAACTAGTGTATCCTTATATTCACATATAAGCTAAATTTGACAACAATTTTATGTAATTTAAAGTCTAAAAAGGTGACATACTATGTCACCTTTTTGAAAGAGCCAAGCACACTGCACAATGCTTGTGCCACACAATCGAGCTTTCCCAGCAACACGCTGAAGAATCAATTATACTAAGTCCCTTGTTCATCCAATCACTAGCAAACAGCTTAATATTGTGGAAAGGTGATTATTAATACTAACTCTACAGTTTATTGTATGATAAATATATCGTCTTTATTTAAAGTTCTTACATTACGGAAAAAGACAAAAACATTCTAGACCTTGGTGAATTTGAGCAAACTCTCCTTTCCTGCCTAAGAAGGACAATGAATTCAAGTATTACAATTCGAAATGACATATTTGATAAATTGATCTAACCAAAATCATACACAACCACTTACAAAATTGATCACACGTCTCTCTTATTTAATCACATCAAATTGTGACCAATCTATATTAGCTTTCATCGTTTGCTTCTCCAATATCACATCATTTGCATAATATAGCAATAGATTGTAGTATGATAGTTAGGTTTTTGAACCAGAAGCAGGGGGGTGTTGAAACTGCTGATACGATGCTGCCATCCTACTATAAGCTTCCATGGTCATTGGCTGCTGCCATTTCAAAATCAGAAAAAGGGATTCAGTGAGTTGATAAATAAAATTTTTATTGTGCAAATAGTGTAAAAAAACCCAACCCCAAATCCGGCCCAATATTTTTTAATAAGACCCAAATTGACTTCTCAGTGCAAAAGGACTTATAAAGTAAAAATTTAGAATAATGCTATTTAACATTAGTGTTAACATATGATAGGATTTTATGAAATTAACCTGTGACTGGCAAGCAAGGTGTGCATATAGGGAGTCCGTAGGTATTACAGAAGCTGGAATGGACAAACGATCCCCGGGATTAATATCCCATGAGGCTGTATGCGGCATAAAGGGTGGCGCTGCCCCTGGATGAAGAAAGGGAGGAATTCCGGCACGGCTAATTGTATTTAAATCCATTACTCCCATTCCAATCCCGGCCATAGCCGCCATTCCTATTCCAGCCATTGGACCCATCATCGACGACATTTGAAGCTGTTGTTGCATGGCCAATGGCATCAGCAGAGATGACATATTATTCATTCTGTTAATCATCTGAACTTGTGCTTGCAGTTGTTTGAGATACTCGATTACTTCATCCAACATTGAGGCTTTATCAGTCTGAACATATAGCACGAAAAAACTACATCAAGATAATGTAATTATAACATTAATACATCGGTGTTAGGTTCTTTGGCATCTCCTTTTAAGGACAATCGAGATAACAAATTATTCAGTCTATTTTGTTAGAAATGCCATTACTATTGTGAATAGTTTGTATTGAAGAAGGATAGTGTAAGAGTAAAGGTGTAAAATAAGTTGTCACTTATTTTTTGTGGGTCAAGCTAAGTCGGTATACAAAAAATAAAGCTTGATACTACTCACAAGCAAAACCCATATCAAATGAACCATTGGTCTAACAAAGACTCGATATAGGTCAACGCCTTTAGAGTCCAGTCCGACTCGACCTTTCTCTTCAGATGGATCATACCTAGTCAAACAAATGTCAAATTATTCAACCGACCCATTTTTACATTCAGACAGTCCGACTCATTTTTACATCCATACGAGCGGGAGAGTTCTCAATTTCCAGATTTAGAGAGTAACAAATTATCAAAGAAAGCACATCCATGATTGAATCCAGACAGCTATTAACAGTCCCTACCTGGACTGACTTTATGTGGTAATAGATGTTTGTCTATACAACCAACAACTCCTCTGTCTACATGTCTATATAGCAAAATTTTATGTGGACTAGGATCTTTACACTATCCCAACTTTGTCAAATTATTTGGACCACTTCACCTAACATCAATTATATATATATATATATATATAACCTCATTTCTCACTGCTTGAGGGAAAACATTTTCTTATAAAATATTATTATTTTTTAAATTTCATATAAACGTTGATGACATGTTAGTTAAATCAAACTTAACGATTTAAAAAAGAAGAAAAGATATTCCGTCTTCGAACCTTGTTGGAATTTGGGACCAACTTCTGCAATGTCTTCATCTTCTGATTAATCTTGTCTCTTCTTTTCTACAACAAATCAATCGCCAACTATTATTACATCATATCTAATAATACTCTCATTAATACAACATATAAATTCAATGCTTTTTTATAAAACTACAACTTTGAATTGATCAAACTTCATTTTTAACTACGTATTTGATGGATCCCGCAATTTTTTCCAAATTTTCAAAGGATATTACTTCAACTTTTACCAAAATTCGTGAAAATTATATTAAAAATTTTGTCAAACAACCCTTTAATAATATCATGAATAATTAAAGAGAGTACTCTTCCCGAGATTTTTTCTATATTTCTTGAAGAAGCAGAAATCAAGAATTTTTTTTCAGCTGCTCCTTTGCACTTTAAACAGAGTTTAACAAATCTAATCGAGTTCGATTAATTAGAAAAAAAATTATATACGCAGATAGAAAGAGAAATTAATAGAGGACATGCATACACGTTCAGACAGGTTGTGAATAGCAGCTGCCCTACTCCTTTTCGTTGAAGTTGAGGATTTTCCTTTTCCTTTCTTCTTATGAATCTTATCCTCCCCATTGCCAGTCTCTCTCTGTAAATTATCAGATGACACAAAAATGTAATAATAAAGCATTAGTTAGCCGAAAGTCGACATTTCTTCTGGTCTAGGTTAAAGTTAATCTCATACAATGAAGATGTACTGGAAAATATGCAATAAAAGCAACTAAACGAACTTGCCTCGGATCCACAGTGACAAACAGAATCGTCGTCCTCGCCGGTCTTGGCCCAATCTCTGGCGGAGCTGGTGTTTTCCGGCGAACCCAATTCCAGGTCGCACGTATCAAATGTCAGCTGATGGCTGTCTCTCCCGCTCAAACTCTGATCCGCTTTACTACTCCAGTCTAGTGCGCTCTCCCTTCCCACACGTGCCAACATGGCGGCGTTGGCGCCGCTGCAGGACCCCACATGGGTGGAGCATCCCATCACGCACGAGCCAATCCCCGACACGGAATCCAGCACTTGCGCGGAGGGTTCTTGGCTGCTAATATTGGTGCATGGCACCAAAGCATCCATTGTCATGGTGGCAGTGGCATCAGGGTTGACCATATTGCGGTGGTGATCAAACCAAGGCACCAGCTCATCTCCACCACCGTTCACGGCGGCTTTGCCCTCTGAAGGTTGGCGCGTAGCTTGGTCGACTATTGATTCGAGAGTGCCACCTGCGTGTAGCTTATCCCACGTGTATTTGTTCGAACCGGCCGATGCAGCCACTGGTTTGTTAGGCGCACGAGGAGGGCCTAAACCATGCATGGCTAGCTGCCCATTTTCCCATGTCAGCTCTGCAACTTCATAATCCAACCTTCAAAGTACATCAACATGAAATAAAAGAGAGGTTACAGTTAATCGTTTTTCATATAATCAGTATGCAGTATTTGACTGGACTGAACAGTATAATTCAAACCTTGGATTGGTGGGATTACCGTCAAGATCCCAGCTAGGTACACACTGATTCATCTTGAGTAGAAGTTAATTGGATTGTATGTCAGCACAATTTACTTAATTATACTTCCAAAAATTTCTCTTATTAAGCAAGTTCTACATATTTGTGGAGAAGGGAAAGGAAAAAATGGTTTAAAGATTTTGGTATGTGGGTTTGAAGTTTTGAAGATTGAATGATAAAGGATTTGAGTGCATATTTTATTATTCTCGAAGATAAGGACAAATATAATTTGAGAGGGAATGTATGGTCCACGATTAGAAAGAGAAAGGAAGATTCTTATTGGTAGAGAGATTGAAATTGGGTATCTTCGGAAAAAGAGATATATAGATGTTGTGGGGTGAGGTCCCTTTACTTGCCATAGAAAAATGTAATTTCAATCATTACACACACAATTAGTAGACAAATAGAGCATGCTTTGGAAGGACCAAGTTGGGGACATAAAATGACAAGAAGTCTTTTTTATATTATTATTATTATTCTATCTATTACTTGAGAGCTCCAGAGCAGCAGGGGCGGAGCCCAAGCATGTCCAATGCATTCTTGGGCCAAAATTTTTTCTTTTTTTTTTCTTTTATTTATTTTAGTTTAACCCACTGTGCTTCTACTTCAACCTTTAATTAGTATGTTGTTCTTACTATTACGTATTAGTATTCCTGAAGGGTATTCCTGAATTCGTATTATGTTGATACTTTTTCCAATACTATTGAGTATTCTGCTTATTGATGTATGAAAGTTAGTTTGTTTTGTCATGGTAAAAGTGGGATTGCTTTAGATTACTATAATTGGAATACAAAATAATTTTGATTTTTTCCAAATGTTTGAACGATAGTAACCTATATGATTAATTACGCTATCATGGACAATCTGAAAGAATGCTAATGGTCTTAATATGAGTAAAATGGATTAACCTATGTAGAACATAGAATGATTTCAATAAGCATGAAGTGTTAATTCTTCTTTATTTCATTTTCGAAAAATTCTACAATGTATTAATTCCCAAGCACTTAAATTCCAGACTCTGCAGGCCGCAGAATTGACTTGGAATCTCTCATTCTTTGGTCAATGAGATAGAGACGTATTCATTTCCGTGGTGTATTATAGAGACATTTTATCAAGTATAATACATCTTTTTTCGAGGAATACTTCTTGGTGCATGGGACGCTTGATACGACTTGACATTGGTGAGGACAGAATGGCTAGGAAAGTAGTTGTACATAAAAGACTTGACGGTGGTAAGTGTTACCTGTGTTAAGATATAGGATGCAACACTTCAAATGCAAGAATTCCAAAGTCAACATTTAGTTGGATTGTTTTTTCGACAATGGTTTAAAATTTATGAGTAAAGCTTGAAATGAAACTGCATAATGAAGCTAGTTTCTTTCTTTTACTGAAGCGGTTATTTGTCTAAATAAAGTTACATGAGATCAGAGGATCATGGTTATTTGAATGTATATTCATGACTGTCATCCCACTTAGTTGTCAAATATGTCTTGTTCTCATGATATTAATGTGTAGTATAGCTTGATCACATTTCATAACACCATGTTGGTCAAAGTAAGAAAAGGGATATCTGTATGTTCTATTTATTTTGTTTTTCCTCTTCTAACTAACCAGAATGCTCTCTTTTTAACAACTCTTCAGGCCTAGAGGCTCTTCGAAACAGTTTGGAGATACCTTTAGAGATTTCCTACAGCTTGTCTACTGGGAGAGATAGTATTTAGGTAACAACGTAATGCCTTGTTTTGGTTCCTTTGACCTTTAGAGTGGAAAATTTTTTGTCTGCACTGAACTAAAATCTTGGTTCTGCCCCTGCTGAGCAGTAACAAAATATGGTATACCTAGAGATAATGGAGATGGGAAGTAGAGGTGGTGGGAAAAGTGATCTAAAAGGCGTAATGCATGATTATGTGTGGAGGTCAAGTTATGGGCTAGACAAGCTTAGACGAGGCATGAACGTAAAAAGATGTTTTCTTATTTTAATATTATAATAATATTTAATCAATCGAAAAATCGTTTAATAATTAAAAATAATACCTATCAAACATCTAAAACAAATTTATAGGAAATTTATACATTTTTCCTAAGTTTTCAACAACAAAAAATAAGTTTCAAATATAAATATTAAGCCCTTGTTTGTGCCACATTATTGGAATAAAAATACATTTTTGAATAGTGTATTGAAGGAAAATGTGTGGTTAAGAAATAAGGAAATATTTTGGATTTGCGTGTAATATTATTTTATTGAATAATGTGTAGTTAAAATGATATCAATTCACTGTTGAAGAATATATTTTTTTCAAAAAATGTGACTCAAACAAAGCCTAAATAGTAAATAAATAGGAATTTTTAGGAGATTTCCTATGTTCAAGATTTCTAGCGACTATTTTAAATTTAAAACCGACGAAGTGAAGAGATCAACGTTTAAGTTTTAGCTTAGAAGGATTGTAAAAAAAATTAAATAGAAAAATGATGATTATGCGTGTCTAGACGAGCCTTAACGGTCAACGATTGTTGCTGACCACTAATAAGGCACTAAGCCACTTGGTTTGACGTTTTTCATCAAGCATCGTGCATTGGCGAAGCCTGCACGCCTTTTAGAGCAGTGGGTGGGAGTGATGAGGCGGAAAGGAAGAGAGAACAACATCCGTGGTGATGGGCAAGGTCAAAGATATGTGAACGAATGATATTTGAAACTCAGTAAGCTCCCATTTGATAGTAATTTTTCACTACAAAAAATTAAATTTTGACCGTTATTTTATTATTACAATCGTCATTTTTTACTTTTTCACTTATAGATGAGGCCCACTTTTCTCTCTAACGGTCAAAAAATCAATTCTCATAATAACTATCGAACATGCCCTAAATTTGAGTTAGTAGTCAATGACGAAATCTGCTAATTAAGATAAAAATAAACAATTAAACATAATTAGAAAAATTGGAAGACAAAATACAATATTTAAAATCTAGTACAAATATATAAAAAAAAAAAAAAGGAATAATAAGTGGATCAAGAAAATCCCAAACTAGATTACATAACACAGAGATTCATTAGTTTAATTAGCAGTAGCTCTTTGAATAAGTGTAAAACCCACCATGAGAGCACAAGAAAAAGTAATGACCGTAAATTTTAAAGAGAGAAAAGTGACCTTTTGTTGAGAAAAAAGGAAAAAATGATGGCTGGAAAGATAAATGACCAATAATTATATAGAGAAAGTAATGACTCTTATATATTTATGTGATACATAGATGTATGAGATAAGTTTTATATCATTTATGTAATTTTTCAAACATGTTTGTATTTTCAAATTTTATTAGTTTTTTATGTTTACCTATGATAATTCTAATTTAAAGAATTTCGTAATTATAATTTTAGTTTTTTTTAACTAATCAATTAACTTTACATAATTTAGTGTCCTTGTCAATGTGGGGACTTAGATGATTCTCTATAAATATTGTGTGTCTTTATTTATTTCTTCTAATTAAATGTTATCGGTGAATCTCTAATATTTCCAAGTGCATTACAACTTATGCATGAATGTGTCGTTTGAATTTTAAAATTTTCACATCACTATAGAGTTTATATTGGATTGATTGATTTGCAATTTGCATGTGAAGTTTGACTTGTAAAAGGTGAAACTGACCACTCAATGTTTACTCTAACTCATGCTTGAGTCGGCAGTGAAACAATCTTTCGAGTGAAATAAGCTTAGAGTTCACATAAGTTTTTTGTAATTTATTTTTGTTATATTTATCGATTTTTTAGAAAATCAACCAAAAAGCATAAATAGTTGTCGGGCCCAATGATCTTTATTAGTCATATTTAGTACTTGTTTGATAGGAATTTTGTTAATTGATTTTTTGACCGTTAGAGATAAAGTGGATCCTACCTGTGAGAAAAGAATTCAAAAATGACAGTTGAAATAATGAAATAATGATTAAAAAATTAATGTTAATTAGATTAAAATCTCTACCAAACATACTCTTAATCCATGAATCCATTTTAATATAACTTCGTTCGAAATAGATGTGCAACTAAAAATATTATTTTCATCAAAGATATAAAATATAAGTTATCATCTCCCATTGAAAACTTTGATAAATATTTTTTAGATAATAGATATGGACGTTATAGATTAAATATGTTTAAATTATAAGTTATTATATTATATTATTATTTATTTGAGTTAGAATATTGATTATTTATTTTTTTGTGTTGGGAAAGTTAATGGACTAAATAGAGCACAGTGGAATATTATTTTTCCCTCTTTATATAAATAAAATAAGATTATTGAATCAATTCCGAAGTAATGCTATTTAGTCCCAAAAGGATTACAATTTCAATTTAGTTGACGTTAATGTGCCATTAAATGATATGTGAAATTAAACAAGTCATTTAATTTTACCTTTCATTCAATTTATCATCTAACGTCACTTAAATTGGGATTGAGATTTCAATGAGACTACATAACATTATTCTTCGAAAAAAGTCAATAAGAAGTTTGACAATTTGTTGCCTCCATTGGCCCAAATGCGATGATTTTTTTTCACTATAATCAATAATATCTTTAGATAAGACTAGAGGACCATTGTATGGTAGCTTTCCCAAGATTCACGTAGCCAACAGTGACCTGCCCCAAAGGGGGTAGGGATTATCCACTTAAAACCTGGGTGACGGGGTAGGGGAACCGACCTCACTAATAAGAGTAATGCTACATTGCCATTCACATGTGAGCTAACAGAATGGCATGGATTATTCAAAAAGAAATGAAAAATTCACTCAATTCACTTACGAAATTGTCAACTTTGTGGCCCCCACTCCAAGTGAACCCTTGTCCATTTTTCCCACTTTTTTCACTCACATTTCCACAATCACACTTCTCCACCTTTTTTTATTTTTAGGTGTTTGGTGGGGTTTAAAATTAAATTTTTTAGTAAATTGTGATAAAAATTTCTGAAATGTGTGGTTAAATGTTGTGGAATCCATGAAAAATATGATTAATATTGATTGTTTTACTTTGATTTAGATAAAAATCGAATTTTAATTCGAACCAAACAAACTGTTAGTGTTTTCCCCTTTACACAGTGACTTCGCGCAGCTGCCGATTCCGAACATCTTTGACCTTTGGCCAGCTCCAACAGCTATATATTATTTGGCCGATTTTGCTTCCACCTTGACCTCCGGCCAACGATTTCACTTCGACTCCGACCTCTGGC